AACTAATTAAGACATGTGTGTCCGTCAACCTTAAACAATAATCTTTGTCAATTTTATTTTTCAGTCTTTATGATGGTCGATACTTGATCTATCTCGTACTGTTACATCCCTGGGCAACGCCGGGCTCTACTGCTAGTAAATTATATAACAACACCAGTAGACAATAGCAAAAAAATTAGACTAATTATTTATTACAAAAAATTTAAAACCGCCAACCTTATAGTTAAAAATAATAATTCACCTCTTAGAACAAAATTAAATAGAACAAATATTATTTACGAATTTAAATGTCCACTGAGAAGTTGTATTCCTGATCAATCAAAATTCGTAAACAATTATATAGGCCACACTACATGTTTCACAAGAAGACTCACACTACATCTTTCTGACCATAGCTCAATTAGGTCTCATTTAAATACTCATGGAGAACTACTGGACCCTATTCGTAATATATTTGTTGATACCACAAATATAATAGCATCGTCTACATGCAAAAAAAGCTAAAAATAATGGAAGCCTTATGAATAAAAACCAAAAAAATAACACTCAATAATATCAACTATGCCCATGGACATAATATCTTGACCGTATCTTGAAAATGGAACATTATATAAATGCATACATACAACAATCTATTTGTTGTTAACAGTTAATATATTTCAACCTTGAAAATGGCTAAATGTATAGCCGAAAGCGCTCGGAAAAAACAACATTTGGACAGTTTTTACATAATTTATCTACTGAAAAGAAAAAAATTATGAGATCACGTGAGAAATTATATAAAAGACTTAAAGCACCTTGTCTATCATATTTAATGAAACTTGCATATATATATATATATATATATATATATATATATATATATAGATAGATAGATAGATTGATAGATTGATAGATAGTATGCTAACGGTAACATCTTGTATTATATCTATCTGACTCCAGAGTTTTGTAGACGGACCTTCGTCAGTAGGTATCAGCAGTTGATTGCTTATACTTCTTTTTCTTTCTTTTTTTTCTTTTTTATATGCACTTTTCATTGGTGCATTTTTATAGTGTGCGTGTGTGCGTTCGTGCGTGTGTTTGCCAGAAGTCATATATAAAGAGTGAGTTAAAGAAATATATTGAATTTATTATCGTGTAAGAAGCGGGGGGGGGGAGTGAAAGAGAAGGAAATAGAGATAAAAACCGCTCTCTCTTTCCACCCACCTCTCTCTCTCTCTCTTTCCACCCACCTCTCTCTCTTTCCCCTCTCACTCTTTCCGCCTATCTCTTCCACCTCTCTCTCTTTCCACCTACCTCTCTCTCTCTTTTCACCTTTCGTGCGTGCTTATTTATATTTCAGCTTTCTTTAAAACAAACAATAGTTTAAATAATTTTATTTTAACTTTCTTCAAACCGACAATTTTTTTTTTTAATGTTGAAAGCAACTTCAATGTTTTATAATCTGAACACTCAGCGGGTACTAATATATATATATATATATATATGGACTAGCAGCATGGCCCGGCGTTGCCCGTGCTTGATTAAAAAATCGTACGACTCATACAGCAATCGCTATCACTTGAATTAAAATATTTTTGCCCTTCCTTGCCTTTAAAGGAGTGCCCTTTGCCGTGCTGATGTTGCTACATGCCTTACTTCTTGCCTATCTCACACTGCGAATTTTTTCTAAGCTCTATACTAAACATTAAATCTGTTACAAAAAAAGAACTAAACAGAATGAACACAAAACGATTAGCTTTAAAAAAGGACTCGTAACTGGAAAAACCGAATGAAAAAAGAATATTAACAACAAATACTTTTTCACACCTAACCCAGTTCTGCGGAATCAGAATCAACGTTGAGTTTAAGCAAGCGAATGAGCCAATTGGAGTAAAGTGCCATGCAGAATTAAATTTTTCACACTTGTGACTAATGCAGCTATCGAATTTTTTTGCATGCTGGCATGCTAGTTAACATTCGTGTCAGTCAGCTATTGGCTCTCACTCTGGCAGGTAGAAAATGACTGCAAACTACATGAAAACTGCCGTAGAAGCATGAAAAAATCGATTATTTCCACTATCGATGGGATTTGGGAAATGCAAAGTCGGTCTTGGCCTTTCCGCTAACTAGGAGCATGTACATGTAAATTTTGGTGCAAATCTGTCGAAAATTGCGGCCGTGCATTCGTTACACACACACACACACACATCCTGCCTTTTATTTATATATATATATATATATATATATATATATATATATATATATATATATAGAGAGAGAGAGAGAGAGAGAGATGTTTTGGGCTTGACCAAGAAGCCCTTTCTATCAAAATTCTGATGTTTTGTCAGTTTTTAGTAAGTGGGTTCTGTTAAGAACTTCACACCAATTATTCTTTTTGTGAAACTATTCTACATACGACGTCACATATGGGATACATATTAAAATTAAATTTACTGAAATTTGAAATATATATGAGGCAATTTGAAGAAATTCTATTTTGATATGGTTCGCTGATGAATCAGTGTTTTATTTTTAAACATCTACATTAACGAGACAAAATGTGATTCATATTAAGCGGCTGCACGTTCCTTCGGTCTACCTGTGGGTTTCATCAGCGGTGTTTTCGTCTGCCTATTTTTCGAAATTTAAGAATCACCCACACAGAAATTGACCGGATTCTAAGAATCAAAATTATATGTAAGAAAAATCGATTAAATCTGTAAACTCATGACTGTCTCTGTTTTGAGTCTCGCGAAATTATGTCCACTCTTCAGGAGACTTAATTTTCCATGCACCCTTCAGGTGACTTGATTTACTATCGAGCTTTTTTGTCTAATCGGTAAGGTGTTTTCCCAGTAAAGTAGGTTCCCAAAGAGATACAATTTTTATGCCATCGGAAACCTATTCTATATTCCTGACCCATGTTACGATCTTCATGGTCGTAGAAAGTAAAAACAACCCGAAAGTTACTATAAAAAGCGACACAAATAGGAAGAAAAGGAAGTAAAAAAGGAATGATCATAGTGTGTAAGAGTTATTGGCACAGAAAATGGAACCGGCGAATCGAGTTCGAATTCCCGCTTAGTTTGTTGAGTTCACATTCGCAAAAAACACTTTGTAATGGTCCGAATCAAACGCTCCGTCTCCCACCAATACATTGTGTTAAATAGCAAGACTGGGCTCTGAAGCCTTGGATAGCAGATAATCTAGGTGAAGGAAAACTCGTGAAAAAAGCAACGGGAAGCCACTCAACTATAATTCTGGAGAAGTCATTGCAATTCACAGGTAATAAAAGCAAAGGAATCTATGGAGTACTAGGATCACCTACGTCTTGCCGAGACTTGATATAAAAAATACTTCATCTCTAGAAATATGGATAACTTAAAACTCTTACATCATTCAGATTCTTACGGAAATATTGGAAGAATTAAAAGGTAAGAAGAATTGAGGCGGTGCAGATTATAGCAGTATTAAGATAGGGCATTTCAAAGTGGTGCAATGGTTAACAAGCCTGTTTCGCTAGATCAATTACGACTGAATAGTGAGTTCGATCCTCACAAATTACCCTGTACATTCGGCCCTGTGCCACATTTAAGCCACGCTTAGAAAATCACCAAAGGCACTTCGGGCCCTATACGTTCGGCCTTGTGACACATTTAAGTTACGCTAAGAAAATCACCATAGCTGTATCGAATTTGAAGAGAATGCAGAGAAGACTGGCAGACGTTACAGTCACTGCTTCTAGTTTAACTAAAAGCAGTGACAACAATAATGTGCACAAGTAAGTGACGAGTTTAAAGAAATGGAATGGATTTCAACAAGCGTGTAGTTTCTATGTGCGTACCTCTGATGGTCGTTCCTTGTCATGGTGAAGGGACTTCAATGGTCCAATAACTGAGAACGATGCTGTCGGGAGTTCTAAGCGCGACCAACCCCGAAAGACCCCAACGATAGAACAAGCGGATGATGTTTACAACAGATCTCAACGATTGAACCAGCGGATATAGAGGGCTACGCATAACGGACATGCTACAGAAGGGGCATCTCGTAATTATAAGTCAGCGACAGTCTGTCACAGTTTCGTAACTGGATTCCGCATGTTTCATTCCACATGTGTCGCAGAGGGAGGTCATGAAATCAAATGTGTGGGACACTTCCTGGCATGTTGAGGTCCACCTTAAACAAATTCATGCCATTCACGCTTTCTTCGACTCCGATTTTCTTTCACCTTCAATCAACTCTTGCAAAGACAAACGGAAATAAGGAATGAATGACGGGAGAAGGTTTTGTTGAAACTGGAAGCTGCAGAGTGCTGAAGCTGAATATTGGCGTGGAATGTAGTCATAAACACCATCATCAGAAAGGAAGCGATCAGCAAAGAAGAAATTTAAATTCTGGGATACGTGATAAAGCCGGCGACGACGAGTAAAAAGAAAGAAAATACACGAGTATGCATGCAAAAGAAAGAAGACATTACAGGTTAAGAATTATGGGGGTGGGGATACACGCGCGCATGCGTGTTAATAAACTAAGGAGAAAGATATCCATATTCTCCCGGGAGAAGGTTCCTGTTGTCACTAAAGCTTGCTGAACAGAGAGAGAGAGAGAGAGAGAGAGAGAGAGTGGGCGGGTGGTACAGAAAGTGTCCCGTTTTATTAGGCACTTAAGAGCCCCCTCTAACGACTTCTTGTTGAAACTGGCGAAGCTAATCCACAGATCTTTATTGATGGTCGTTAGTAATCTCTGGTTTGGGTTTTTTCTTTTAAGTGCCGTGTCTCTTCAGGATGTAGGCGATCATAGCTCTCCACAACTTCTCATTCTTTGTAACTCTAAACAATGTTTATCCCTTTACTATGCATCCCATTCCATATTCTGCCATCCATTTACACAAGCTCGTTAGGTAGGTTACTTGCTGTTTCCCCCTTTGTTGCTTTCAATATGTTTTGTGAGGGTCAAATTCTCCAAGTTTCCTTTTCATCTGTGAGGAAATTGTCCATTACACCACCCGCACATCCAAGCTTACAATATCTGATGTTCCCAAGCGGTCACCCGTCTAGGTAATGACCAAGCTCGATGTTGCTTAACTCCAGTGATTGTATGAGAACCGGTGATTCAACGTGATGCGGCCGTAAGTTCATTAGTGAGATTGAGTAAAACTAGTAATATAGTAGAGTGGCTGTTAAATGGGGCGGTTAGCTAATCCCCGTTGCAGACGCCTTCTCAGGCAGATTTGTGTTTGTTCAACACCTACATAGCCTACCTGTGGTTTATACTGCAACTACGCTGAGCGGACCTTAGTTACACTCTATGGGAGAGAGCACGTTTTCTAGCGTGATCAAAAATTTGAACAAGGCCAGCACACTCAAACTCTCGGTTACGATGACTTAAAAGTAGTAATATACACATGTATAAAACACAATAATGAGTGCGTGCGTGTGTGTGTGCCATGTTTGTGTGTGTGCGTGTTTGTGTGTGTGTGTGACATTATTCACAGAGCGCACAGATACTACACTGATCTTCGACAGAAGTTCCACTCCAAACGTAAAATAATCCAGTCATTTTCATAGGTAATATGCTTGTAGCGTAACGGCTATCGGCGCGGAAATTTGAATCAGCGAACCGAGTTGAAATTCCAGTCTAGTTTATTGCGTTCACTTTCGCACTAATGCTTTTGGGAGAAAATATATCTATTTTCTCCAACCAGCTATGGGCTAAATCGCCGGATCGACTGGTGATAACCAGTCTAAGAGAAGGTCAACTGAATTCCAGAGCTTTGAGAAGGCAGTGGGAAACCACTCCTTGATCTTTCCCAAGATGATATGGCATTGCACTGAGAATAAAAAAGTGATCTGTGTAGAAGGTAATGGAAACCAGCCCTGGATCTTTCGCAAGAAAAGGTAATCTGTGTGATGCTATGATGTCCTCAAACATTTCAAAAAATGCTAATAAAATAATAATTATCTGTACCCTTGAAAATTTCACGGTTTACCGATGTTTAAAATTTCTCTGATGCTTGTAAGTCATGAATTTAATAATACATTGCCTGCGATTTCCACTTTCATAAAATAACCTTGGAAATGTCATTATGTAATTGTTAAATATTTGGGCATAAGAAATTTAACAAAATATTGGAAACGTTTTTTTTTTTAATTATTTGATATCTTTGTCGAGTTTCTCTTTGAATCCGGATTGCCACCAAAAGCCTATTTCCTTAATGATGAATAAACTGAAAATACACATAAAGAAATGTTATAAGCCAGCTATCGATGTTCGAATCCTGGTAAAAGCCTTGAATTTAAAGCAGGTAAATCTTCTCCATGTCGAAGAATGTTGCAATACAATCTTCATGCTTTCAGTCCCCTATTTTACTTTGTGTTGGGCTAAGCCCATCTTAATAAATTAAAATAATAGAATGGGTATATTTCACTTCTAAATGAAAATGATTAGATTAACCGTTCTCGTCTAAGAAACATTCGACGTTAATTGATCAAGCTGACCGAGTTAATGATGGTCGACATTTATGATATGTTTTTAGACTTCTCCAGTCCACTGTTATCACTCTTTCTAGTACTGATGGGAGTTTCTTTCCTAACCTTTTGTTTAAGGTAATGTGGAAAGTTAACATCATTATTGTCTCTACTAGTTACATGTGCTAACAAATTTTCTTGTTGCTGTTGGAAATGTTCAAGTGATGGAGTTTTTGTTATTTAGTACAGTGGAGGCATAGTGAAAAAATGAATAGCGTCTCGGATTAGGGAGCCGAGTTCGAATTCCAGTTGAGTTCATTACATTCATTTATGCACTAATACGCTTGGGAAAGGTATTAATCCATCCTCCATCTATGGGTAAATAGCAGGACAGACAAAGTCCCGTAGTCTTAGTTGGTGATTTGTTTAGGTGAAGGAAAACTCTGAATTCAATAGTTGGGCTCTGTCAGGCTATCTCCTCCAGGAAACACTACTACTACTACTACTACAGTACATGGGGTGCCCCTACGACTCTAATGGGTTACGGGTCACGAGATCATGATAGCTCTTTGTGATCTTGTAGCGCCAGACTATAGGGTCTGATGAAAGATTGTCTTTAGGATTTATTCGTTTGAAGTCATTTTAGGAGATAACTAATATGTTAATCTCGGCTTAAGAAATGTAGAAAAAAATTCTACCACCGTTGATTACAAACATTGGACGAAACTTTGACAAAATCAGTTGATTCAAATACCTTTTATTTATCGTTTTTTAATACTTTCAGAAATGCATTGTAATTAATAAATATTTAAAATAAAAAGATTAGAGTACCATTCCTGTGAAAGGAATTCACGTTTTGTCGGAATTATTTTTAATAATGAAAAATATTAAAAACCTTAACAAAGCACCCTGAAACTCGTTTTTGCTGATGTTGTTAAGCTCAAGTTAGTCAGGTACAAGGCCATAGTATTAGGGTACTAAATATGGATTAAACTCATTATCACTGACATGGTTGACAAGATGCGACACGGGAGGAGCTGATTTATTTTAAAAGTTTAACTTTAGCCGACTACAGAAGCAGGACACGTAACAAAAAACGAATTCGCTACGCCAACACAAGTGAAGATTCATTATGGATAGTGATCTGTATAATATATTTCTTTGTACGTGACCTAACGTACATTTTTTAATGTGAGAGGATGGTAAAATTTATTTATTTTTAGTTGCATCATGTTTAGTTTTGGGCAATTAGTTCTGTTGCCGTTCGTACGATGACGTAACGTGATGACGCCATGCATTATGGCAATATGGTGTTGAAATATTCGTTCTTTTTCATCCCACACAAAAAGAGATTGTTAGTGTTGTACGACCACTAGAAAAAAAAAACCTTTGTCTGAAGTATATGCGGGATAATGGCGAGGAAACACACGTGTTATATTTAACAAAACAAGATAAGGAATTTATTTACAAATTTACACATTTGAAGTTGTCAGTAGCTTGTTTCAGGAAAAGGAATCAAATATTTAAAGTTTGTAGTTTCGATGAATTGTCAAGAAGAGAAATGTTCATATTAAAACATCAGACACAAAGTAATATTGCAAAATGTTTAAAACAAATTGAGAGAGTTCGTTTTTCACATAAAAGTTATACTGTTGTATTCAACATAAATGAAAAGATATATTTTAAGGTACTTAGCTTTGAAGTTGAATAGAGTTCTTTGAAATTGCTATGCACTCATTAGAGGCTGATAATGTATCAACGTGTAATTTGACACTGGCGTTATTC